CTGAGTGTTACTATCGATAATAATCTTCGGTGGTCTACACACATTCAGAACTGTATGGAAAAACTTCGGCGCCTCTCCTTTCAGCTCCGAAAGCTCAGACAATTTTGCACACCCCAAAAGTTTTATTCTCTTTTGTTAAACAATTCGTTCTCCCTACTTTACTGCTCCCCTGTAGTGTTTTCCGGCCTAGTGAAACAAGACTTTAAAACTATCCGTCGTGGATTAATGATAATAAGCAGGGCATCTTTAATTTCTGCCGAGTCATTGTTCACAGAACTTATCAATGGTCATATGAAGTCTTGTATGACCTTTGCCAATAAACGACCCCGCCCATCCTTTGTATTTTGACTTATCTTCTTATCGCTCCCAGTCGATCACTCGTTCCTCTTATCGGTACCTACGCTCCCGAATAAACATTTATAAAAACTCCACTGTACTGTATCTGGCTCGCATCTTGACCAACCAGGAATGAGTTATAAATGAATTAAGTCAATCGTTGATTGACTGAATCAAACTTTAGAGACATTTATTTTTTTACACAGCACTCTATTTATTTTTGTCTATCCTTCTATATTTACTCCGGTATGACGACCAGTGTACAATTTTTAACTTAAATGTAAGCATATCTCAGTTTGGAAAAGTTATACAAATATAAATACAAATACAGCATAACTGATTGGGCCAGAAACTTTTGTGCACGCAAGATTGGGCTGCGTAACTTGATTAGCATCGCCTCACTAAACGCCGAGACCCTGGGATTCGCGTTACGTATTAATGGCTTGAACGACAAATGTGGGTCAACGATGCGCCCAGTTGTCATGAGATGCTTTGCTATTGATGACCCTGGATTTCTCTTATCACAATGACCTCGAAGACTGTGTTGCGTCATTGACTGTACCAACTACTTGGGAATGTGTTCGGACATCCATTAGGAGAGAGGCCGATACGCTCTGCGGATGTCAGCGCAACTGCAGGTGAACTGGTAGACGGCATGTGAAGCAGAATTGTGCGGCTGGTTTTGTTTTCGGTTGTCCAAACGAAATCCTTGGGTATACGTTATCAATCGAAGACATGCGGCAGGAAACGTTCTACATAATGCCACCTTGAGCTTTTAACACGTGGTTGATTATATGATCAACCTTGAATGTGCGTCTCATGAGGACGCTCTTCTTCGGTACTTCGTAGATGGGATCAACCGGTGACCCTTGTCTGCTATGCATATCAATAAATTTATCTGGATAACCATTATCCAATAGCGTCCTTCACAGAAAGGCTTCTTCTTCTTGAAGAGTATCAGGAGAGCAAATATTCCTATAATAAACTGGAGAAACATAAACTTAGAACAGCTATAGATGGTCTGCCAATTTTATCGCCATCCTATGGCTGATATACGTGATGATGGAAAAGATATTAAGTTTTTATCAGAACATCAATTTGGAGACACGTATCATTTCCCCCATGTGTATCCTGCACGACAGAGGCGGTTATCTGAACAGAATAGCATACCATAGGCCAACATGGGCAGTATTCTCACTCACTGAAACGCAGACCAAACCTCGTCCGACCCCTTGCAGCCTGAACAAGAAAAATTCGCACAGAAGAGAGCTTAGCNCACGGAATGTGAAAGAAATTCACATCTAGCAGTAACAGCATTGGTTTATTCAGATATCAAAGGGCTTCTCAAGATAACAAGGAATAAGGACTTAAGAAAGCTGCTCGCTATCAAGGATGACCACAAAGGTAGAATGAATCACATTTGGAAAGGACAATCAAGTGCACATTCGAACAGGACGTTTACACTCTCAGTTCAACAGTGAACCGTTTCTTTCCACGAATCTAGGGGAGAAATGGTTCATTTCTACCTTCTGTATTATTACGAACCCTTTTCTTTGCTCATGTCAGGCAAACTACATAGGTAGAACCATCAAGCAGTTTTCGCCAAGGATCGAGGAAGACAAGCAAGTTTAATTGGACTCGGACATGAGGAAAACCATATTCAATTCCGTTGTGGAATATCTCGCAGATACGGATTATCAAGTAAATAAAGATGTCTTTAATGTCACCCATCGGGTGTCACCCTATCCATCAAAAATTGTTCGTCCATGGCATTTAGCAACAGACGAGGGAGTGGCCCTCCGTCTGTTCAATCCATCGCTTCGCTTCAAGAAGCGAATTGTCAGAGCGCTTCAACTGCCACAATTCCGGTAGGAATTCAGCCTCATGTCTGAGGATGACCGCGTGATACAAACCGGTCAACGTTAACCTTGACCCTATTGTGACCCACGTCTCTTATTCCTATTCCCATCTACCCAACACCTACTTTTATTTAGAAACCATCTGAAACCTATTAGCACGATCTACCAATCGAATTGACACTTAACTAAGACCTTGTGCAGTTTTGTCACGTCTTCTCCGTATTTATATAAATGCATTAACTGAATATTTAATTGCAAGATCAACTTACTTACAAGAGGGAAAAAGCTGAGGCTTTTGTGGAAAAACTGGAAGACCATGAACAGTGACAGTGAACTGAACCAGTTTACCACTACCGCCCGTGTGTGTACAGTCCACCACAAGCTACTTCACCAGATCGCTCTTAACCACTCAATGCGGTCTGGCGAGAGAAATATAAAGCGAAACTTTATGTGCTACTGTTCCTGAATGCTTCACTAGCCACTTTCATTCTTCACAAGCTGCTATATCTCAACGATTGATCAAGTTTCATTAAATTATACTAGCAGGGTGTGCAGATAATTTGCAATTTATTGGTCCCAGTAAGCGAGATGAAAAGGGATATGTAAGGACAATCCATGGCTAGAATGAGATTGAAAACCCGACAAACGAATTACGTAACATTGCTAACCTTGAACGGGGAAAAATATTGGTAATAATGGAAACGAAAAAGAGCGAATCCGTTGACGACACCGTATTTACTAGATGCATCTGGTTTCTATGGCAAGGAAAAGAATGGTATAAATAAGAGATCTTAATCAGAGTTTTTTCTGCAACAAACAGGAACAACTATGCGCGGAAACAGATAAGTAATTTAGGGATTGTGAAGCAGATGTGCACGCTAATTGTCACGCAGGTAGAGATGCAAAACTACTCATGAAGAAGAATGTCGGGAGATGTCAAGTTCATTTTCGAAGCAAGCTGGCCAGAATTCTGCCCACACTACCGCCCGACTAGATTCATTAGTATTTGCTGAGCCATTAAATTGTTCACCTAACAAATGGTCTCATTCGCGATTCTGTACAATTCAGTCGTCATTTCTCACCCCGAGTCGGAATTGTGTTATCGAAATAATATGTGCTTCATGCGATCCTTCAACAAGGGATTATCAGCTTCTTCCATGGTTTTTCAGTTCGTCCTTTACGGCTGCCGAGGTTTCTTTATCTAACAGTATCAAGGCGTAAGTGGCCACCAAACGGTGTAAACCAAAATCACATTGCCTTGGAGGTCGCTTATTCGAATCCCGCCACCACCGTCCATTTCAGTGCACCCTATGATGGCTCCCTGATCGGCCATTTCCTCCTTCCAAAAAATTCTATTGTGTATTACCGGAGAAAGATCAGTCCTATCGACAATCTAGAAACAGCACAGCGTCCGATCAGTATGTGCTGAATGCCATCTTGATTGTGATTGATGGATGAGCATTTATGAGCATATGTACCACACTAGCTTTTCAGGTTCCATTTGCATTGGGCTATGGAACAGGAATTTTCCTTACAGCGGGCATTTGCCAATTGCAGATTAGCCGTATACTACTTAGAAATTACCTCGCTGAATATTTAACCGAAAGGTGATAGAAGGGAAGTCAAAACCATTACCGCGCACACACCATTCGGTAAAAAATACATGCATGATTTGTAAGAACTTGGGACCGAAGCAGGTTATCTGTGTGACTCCTACCATCAATCGGTGATCTATAAGTCCGGTGGTGTCCAGTAGAAAGTGACAAACATCCTAATGGGTTGAAAAGGAAAGAGTAGTAAAACGACCTAAGTAGATACCTACATCGATACTTTTCGGGGACCATGAAGAAATTGAGTCTTTGGTACGGTTATTGTTTTAGCGAGCCACTGTCTGAGTAGGATCAGTTTTTCTTATACCATTAAATAAAGTGGGAGGGGAATCAGTCACAATCAGGATGATTTACGGCACACGTAAATCACATCCCCAACGAGGAGTAAAGGAGAGATGAATTTGGACCAGTGACCAAGCTACCCAAAACGTGAATAGAGCACAGGCTGTGATTGATTCAGAAAGAATAGTACGGTCTTGCAACACGCAGCATCTAGGGTGAATAGAACAAGGATGGGGTCACTGCAGAGAAATTTCCAAAAGGGACAGGGTGAATTTACCCAGAGGTCACGCGGGGTGAACAGAGAGCTCCAAGCGAGTAGATCGAAGGAAGAACAGGGATTTAAAAAAACAACGCGGATGGAAAGATACATGGAAAAGGAAACGTGTAGAGCGAAATTAAGCCGGATAAATGTAAATGGAAAATTGCTGAGCACTGATAGAGATGAAGTCTACAGCTGTTTTCTTGTCTGGCTGTCTTTAGGGAGAAGTAAAAGGTTCTTTTCGTCATAGGAAATTTGCAAAAGTTGAAAGAAATGGTTCGGCAAATAACGCACAACGACAATAACACCCAACTATGTAGATCTGAGGCGCATGTAGGCACCTTAACAGTGAAAAAAATAACCGAAAGACGAAAACAGCTGAAATGCGGTTTCCGAGTTTAAAAACGAGGACGAAATGCAGTCGGGAAAATGCACGGAAAACCATTGTGGAGGCTGTAGAGAGAAACGGCGCGTGGTTATGGCTCATCACAACAAGGAGTGGATTAATAGACAGTAAACAGATAAGACCCATCAGGGGTTGGATTTGAATCTGTGCCGTGTAGGCTGATGCATAGCCAATGGAGGCGTCTGACGTCTAAACGATTCCTGTTGTTGGCCGGGTGGACAGTCATGGACGAGAATAGTTCAACAGCTTCATAAACGATTCGCGCGCAGAAACGCTTTTTTCTCCTCGGCTCGATGCAATTCCTGATTGGCCAAAATATCTCGATAGGCCGAGTAGAGTGGCGGAGGCACAAACCTGTTGATTAGAAATCCTATTACAATTATGCCGATCAACAGAACATGCACACAATACCCAATACTATGCCAGTAGGCTAATGTGGTCTCCGCATCAAGCAACAAGAAACCCATGGCACAGTACTCAAAAACACGCATCTTGATGAGCCAGGAGATGAACGGCAGCGTTCCAGATGGTAGGCTTCGACCGAAAGTGTTAATCGCTTTGGTTAGGGTAGATTCCGCAACAAGGGCCAGCGGGACAGTGAGAAACGATAGATAGTATCCAGGATGAAACCCGTGCCAATAGGCACTGACTAACATAGTCCACACGTTCCTGTGAAAGAGTAAGAGACAAGTCTGAAATGTGAGCGGAGAAGCACAGCAGACAGAAGTAGGAAATTTGTGTGCTCATTGTCATTATTATCCTTGGAGTTGGAAAAAATTAAATGTACAATGGTTAACGCATATTACCCGTATCATAGAGATGGATTTAAGACAACTCAGTACATTACCTGTCTAAAACAGCTATGAAGGAGCTATAATATTATCTTGAAGGATGTATGTATGATGAGAAGAAAAGAGGAAGTGAAAACCGCGACGGTGGAGAAGGAACCAGTGTTGGTGGTGTAATGGTTTAGTCGCTGTCACCGGCGTGCATTGAATCTTATGGTTCGAGGTTCCAACCACGCCACCGCCACCCACCTTTTGTGGTGGCAATGCACTTATGGGTGTTCTGCAGCCTCCTTTTGTGATCACTCATTCATCTGTTACTGTGGGCTACAAAACTACATACCTATCCAACTCCACCAACGAATACCATCGACCTGGTTGAAAACTGGGGAGATCAAGTCTGGTCGGGCGAAACAATAATGTGAATGGGATAGTGATGACTTTACTGATTATCAGTTCTTGTTCGCTAAAGCACCACAGATTGTATGCACGCATGTTGGTAGTTCACGGTTAGAAGATATATATGTATCATGGATTTCCTCAGGTAGTTGATTACGACAGAAACAACAGAATACAAATGTTATCATGGAATGAGGAGCTAAAAAGAGATCCGGTTTATTGGCTTAGAGGAACAGTAATATTTGTGGCATCAGGATAGATGACAAGTCAGGTTGTCACTGCAGGTAGCAAAGGACATAAAGAATGTGTCGCATCTCTATTGGACTATTGAAGAATCAAACGTATACCATTACAGACCAGTTTGTTTTGCAAGGGACTAAGGAGACATGATCAACACGAACACAGAACGCAACGATACTATGAGCATTGTGATACACACACACGCACACACACACACACACACACTAGATTTCGACCTGGCGGTTTACTTAAATCGATTGAAAGCCTTCAAGGGTGTCGCTTCTACATCCCCTCACACAATCAGATCCATATGCTGACCAGAGTAGCAACATGAGCTTTTTAATAACTTCATCCAATCCCTTGTTAATGATCCACTAACTGGGTAGCTGAAAGATAGCAACTAGAACCGGCGTATGACAGTACAAGGTTAATGGTTGTGTAAACTGAAATTGGAACCAGTGGGTACTTGTCATGAGTAGGTTCGCCAATGACAAGCTCATTTCAGACGGCGGTGACTTGTCTGCAACCACACTGCGCAATCCGGTTAACAAAACAAGAGATTTGACTGCGAAGGATTGGACTTTTATTTGAGAAACAGATGAATACATCACAATGGAGCATACAGTGAAACTGAGCAATGGAGCTAACTGACCTAACTCGATGGTGAATTTGAAAGCCTACAAGGCTGCACACTCGTATGAGCATCTCAATTCCATGATGGTTATACTGGTGAGGTTTGTAAACGAAGATAAAACAGATGTAAAGTAACTGAAATTTTTCAAAAGGTTGAAACGACCTGACACGGCTGGTGTAACCAAATTCAGGGCAGTTTTTTATCCATCCAAAATTCAACATTCTCGTAAGCGATGAAACATAGTTTATACCAAATATAAACTTTTGCGTATCGATTCCCAACACTATCAACCATGGGTAGGCGTCTAGTTTGGTAGAAGCACATGTGCCTAACGCTGTTTATGGTCACACCGATAGCGACCTGCTATGATAATGTCAAGCACCGTATTGAAGAGAGTGAGAAACAGAACAGAACAGAGCCAAATAAATGCACATA